TATGATTGGTTGGAATAAGATACCTGTAACTTGTATTATATCAGCATGACTGAAAGGTCTAGGCACTTATACAATGTTGTACAAGAGAACACAAACTAGTACCAAGTAATATGAACCCAAGATAAGTTCTTAGGCCATATAAATCACAGGAACCAGGTAGAAAGACAGAAGCCTACTTGAAAAACCCAAGTAGAGAAGTAACCTGAATCTTAAACAGTATTACTGTAAAGACTAGACTTATAAAATAAAACTAGAACTTGTGAAACTAAGCAAATGTGCCAGTTTTTGAGAAGGGACCAGATGAACCAACCAGGCCATTAAACTTTTTGTGTTTTGAAGAAGAAGAATATATGCTAACAAACATGTAAACTAGAAGTAAAGTCTTGTTTTACCTTTCTAAACTATCTGAAATAACAGCTTGATGGAACTTGAATTAAATACCAAATAGTAAAGATATGTTGTGAAGTCAGTACCAAAGTTGAGATGAACTCTACAAGAGCATAGTAGTTTAATAATATGCCCTGAATGCCAGTATTGGTCTTGATTATAGTGATATTAGGTCAGTTATAAAAATAAAATACTGAAGATTCTGAAAGGTTTAGTACAAGTTTAAAGGTTTTTCATATGAGTGAACTGCTTTAAAGACTTAGTGACCATGGTATATTTTTATTGGCATTGGCTGGGGTCATTGGTAGGCAGAGATAGATGGATAGATACAGAAATAAAGTGGTTAAATAGGGAACCTACAAGTGGGTTTCAGGTATGGTAGCTAGTGTAGAACCTTTGGATGGATTACTTAAATTAGACAATAACTAAAGTTGTATGAGTGGCTAGTTGTATACTCCCTTCATGGTTGCCTCCTGTAGTTGTAATACAATCATTAACCAAATATACTATTAATAAAATCCTGGATTACAAGTATTCACCTTAATATTTAAAAAAAAAAAGCTTCAGTGCAAACCTATAATAAGAATACTAGGTGCAATAAACTAAGAAACTAAAGAGGTAGAAACCTATTTAGAAATTTCTAAACAAAAAGGTAGCATGAACTTTCAACAGTATAATCAAACTGATGGAAGTCTATAAAATACCCCCAAAAAGATAAACAGTTAAACCAAATAACAAGATATATAAAGAAGCATATGACCAACCAGGCTACTGAAATTACTAAAAGAAAAAGAATATATAAGTATATCATACCAGATCATCTAGATTGAAAGTCAGAGGAGTTTTGTCAGTTCTAAGTAGCAGTTAGTAGGAAATAATGAAGAAGATGTTGTGATGATAGATACTAGGATTCTAGTGAACTTTATAAGAGTAGAAATAGTGTAACATAGTAGTTAAACAGATAACCCCTATAACTGCAAATATTTGGCAACTATAGCAAGTTATATAAAACTAGATCAGTTGTATATAAGACATGAAAGGTTCTAATAAGTTTTCTGTTGAGGATAAACTAGTCCTAAAGGGTCTCAAAGACATAAGATATTTTGGATAAGTGTAACCTTATCATGAGACATAGTAGACTGCATATGCAAAAGGTTTAAATAGACAAGACCTATAGTTGGCTTGCAGGTATGGCACCTAGTGTAAAACCTGTATAGTAATATATAGGTAGACTACTTAAATTAGATACCAAAAATGCACATATAGCTAGTTGTAACCTCTAATATAAATGAGTCTCTGGAGGCACCTGTGTCTAAATATATGAATAAAAACATTGATCTCTATAGACAGGAACTTTAACTATAAAAAAAAATATATATATATATTTCATAAGCAAAATATATCCTATATCATTAATAAATTATTATTTTATTTAAAAAATACTAAATATAATTTAATTTTTCAGGCAAATTTGTCTGAAATATGGTTTAAGGAATATTAATATATTTTATTATATATTGTTTAATTTTTTTTTATTTTTATTTTTTTTAAAAAGTTATGACAGTACTTAATTAAACTATTTATAACTATATATATAAATACAAAATATTATTTAATAAATAAGTCTGATATATTTAACTAACCAAACAGTATCTAAATATAACTTATTATACTAATACAGTTAGGACTAAAAATTATAATTTGTTTGACCTTTACCTTACAATAGAATATTATTAATCTGAAGATATCCTCTTATAAGAAAGAAAAAAAAAAAAAAAAAAAATAATTTTAAATTTAATAAAATAAAAAATAAAAATAGTAAGTAAAATAAAACTAATAAAAATAAATGAACTAATTTATAAAAAGAATAAAAGAAAAAATTAGTTAACAGAATAAAACTCTATTCTATAATTACTGCTTACTATTATTTTTTATTTTTTTTAAAAAAATAATTAATTTTAAATTTTTTGATTAAAAATTAAAAATTAAAAATTTTTACTTTAAAATATATAATAAAATATATTTTGCTGTTGACAAAGCTTAAGTATGTAATACTTTAAGAAGCAAGCAAAACTTGATTAGTTTTTGTCTTAAGCTTTTTGTTTAATAGATTCCCTCATATATTTAGTATCCAAACTAGAAGGATATTCTAAAAACAAGTAAAGACAAAATTAGTTCTTTGGTTAAAAATATTAGAAACAGAAAAAAAAGAAAAATAATTAGAAAATCTCTTCTTAACTTGAATCTTTACAATTATAATATATATATTTTTTATCTTTTTGTTATTTTTTCTTTTTTGAAAAATAGAGATTTGGTTTATCTTTATTAAAAGATCAATATTATGCATTACTTTCTTTTGTAGTTACATGTTTGTTTAGATATGATGAATAAGAAATACAACAAATATTTAAGTCAGCCAATTATGTAAAGCAGATCAGAAAAGAATTTAATTTAGAATGATCAAAAATATATTAAGATATACATATATTCTAAGATCATGTTGTTATAAGATAGATTTCTATTATTGTATTATTTATTAGTTATAGTTGCTTTAATGCTTTAAACATTTTAATGCCTTAAACTTATAATACTGGTTGCTTAGTCTTTTAGTGAAACTAGTTGCTTAGTCTTTTAGTGAAACCAGTCACTTAATTCCTTAGTGAAACTGGTTATTTAGTCTTTTAGTAAAACTGATCACTTAGTCTCTTAGTAAAACCAATCACTTAGTCCTTTAATGAAACTAATCACTTAGTCACTTAGCTTACAGATATATAAACCCTTTAAATTCTCTCAAATAAAAAGATAAATTCAGTCAATAATAAACAGACAATTCTTTTTCTTCTTTATCCTGTAATTTATATTCTAAATCTTTTAGAACAGATATCTAAGAATAATTCTTCTTGCAATTATTTAATAAATAACTTTAACTATAAACTATTATGTAAGAATTATCGAACTGTCTCAGAGATGAGTATAGTTTCTTGACAACATCTAACAGAAGCTATACTTTCCTCTTAGACACCACATATACTTGTAAAAGATTCTCTGTACTGTGTTATTGTTGTAGTATAGAAATAAGAAAACTTCTACTCTATAACAATATATATAATATTTTTAAAAAAAATAATTATAAAAATTTATAAAAAATTGAATTACTTAAGTACATTTCAAACTTTGATATGGTACCTCACCTACTTGAAGATTTTTTTTATATAGAAAGTATCCAGCTTAAACTTCATCCTACAAGTAAATATATTTTTCATTCTAATTAAGAGTATTTAGTTTTTAGAAAATAATTATAGTTCATAAAAATATAAAAACATTATAGTAAATAGCAATTATAAAATAGAATTTTATTTTGTTAGCAGGTTTCTTTCTTTATTCTTCTTATAGATTAGTTTCATTTTTTTTTTATTAGTTTTATTTTACTTTTTATTTTTATTTCTTTTTTTTTTAACTTTAAAATCAATTTTTTTTTGTTTTTCTCTTTCTTATAAGAAGATGTTTTTAAATTGGTGGTATTCTATTGTAAGATGAAGGTCAAACAAATTGTAATTTCTAATTCTAACTAGATTAATGTAACAGATTGCATTTAGGTACTGTTTGAGTGACTGAATAATGGTAGACTTATAAGTTAAATAATATTCTGTATTTACATATGTAACTATAAATGGTTTAATAAAGTATTACTATAACTGCTTAAGGGAAAAAAAAAAACATGTTCATGAACTGAATTTGAATTAAATCAAAATTTAAGTTCAGATCAGTGCAGATTCATAAATTTAAGGTTAGTTCAGATTCAGGTTCAAAGATTTGCAAAATTTGAAGTTCAGTTAAGATCCAATTGAACTTGAACTTGAACCTAAAAACACTAATTCGAACCAGCTGAAATTGACCCAAAGCAATATATACCAAAAAGTTACACAAAAATGTTCTAACTTATTTTTGAATTATTTTAGGTAGTAGCTTATTTGCGATCATATACGGTGTTCACATTTTTATTTAATTTTTTTTTGATGCAGCATTAATCCTTCTTTTCAATTTCAATTGTTGTCTACATACAACATATTGCAACACGATAAGTACAGGCATTATTAATTGAAAATTTAAAATATCCATTTATCTCATTAAGTAATTAATTAAATTATATTTATCTGTTTATGTGCTCGTTCGCACGATATTATATTATCTGCATGCTCGATTAGAATAACAGCACTTTTGAATCTAACTGGATTGCTTTCGGCATATCTTTGCTTAGTCATCGTTTCGTCGACTTCTGTCAACTTGAATATACTCATGTTCAAACTTTATGAAGAATACATGCCATAGAAGTTTGTTGTAAACATTTTTAATAGTGGCTTGTAATGTTAGGTTTTTTATAACGGCTTTTTATATTGCAACTTATTATAACAGTTTGTTATATTACAAATTTGCTATATAAATAATGCAATTGTTGTCTAACAGTATAACAGTATATAATGGTTATATAATTGTACAACGGCTAAAAATAATCTTATAACATTTTATAATAATGGCTATGTAAAGGCTGTATAATAGTTTTGAATATTCGAATTAATTAAATTCCTTAATACGAATTAAATTCATTTCAACCTCTACTGCTGTCCGCATTCTCTTTCAAGAACTTCTTTTGAAATTTGCTAAAAAAGAATGTATCAATTTATATATAAACAATTTTTTTCATATCTCTTTTAAAATTGGGTTCAATTAATAAAATTTTCTGATACTTACCAAGTTCATGTACAATTCATCACATATCTCATTGAATTGAGTCCTTAAATTTTGCAAATGTTCTGATTCTTCCTTTGACGGCGTAAGTGTTATCGATTGTCTATTTTGGCTGACAAAAAGGGACGCGCTCAAGCACTATGAAAATAACTCATACCAATTTCAGGTAACGAAAGGAAAGAATAGATAGTTTACTTTCGATGTCCTTGTTTCATCCTAATTTCAAGCATATTATCAGCATGACTATATACCGCCTAACAAAAGTTTTATTTAGAAACGATGAATGTTAAACATATGAGTTAAAATAAAAAGATCATACGAACGTTCAGCGTCGTCTTAAGCACCTGAAGCTTTGATTCGAGATCTGATAAGGTACTTTTGGAAGACGACATTCTGGTTAAATAAAAGTTTGTTTTTAATACATATTGTTTTTTATTCGTGACATTCGATGGGGATTGCTACGGACACAGCTTATCGACACAGCAAATGACCAACACTAACTTTAACGACACAGTATGGCCAGCATTATAGTTAAGGTTAGTGTTACGTAGAATATGGGGTATCGATAAAATTTGTGATTAGCTTTGATTGGTTGTTTATATTTGGTAAGTACAAAATCACGTGAATGGTAAGTGTCCGGGGCGTCCTTAATGTAGGCTCTTAACTTATGACCAAAAATAAATAAATTAAATTTAAAATAGTAATCACGTGCCAACTAACCCTAACCCTAAAAAACTAAAATTGAGACACAGGATAATAACCTCTACCCAGGGTTGGCACATTTATCCATTGGGTCCAATGGAGTAGACCTCCATTGACATTGGTCCATTGAGAATATTTTGTCAATGGAGCCAATGGGGTCCAACAAGATACTATAAGTACTACGTATAAATTATATAATATATATATTATATGTTATATATTTTAATTTATAAAAGCATTGATAGCTTTTGATCCACTGATCCGTTTTGGATGCTTTAACCATCAAAATGTTCGTCTTGATGAGACGAACATTTTGATAGTTAAACCATTCAAAATGGATCAGTGGATCAAAAGTTATTAGTGATTATATAAATTAGAATATATTAATATTATATAAGTATGATTGGTTGGTTCAATGGAGTCAATGGAGCCAATGGATACCATTCCATTCACTCCATTGGGTCCATTGATAATTTTCTCAATGGATCTTATCCATTGCCAACCCTGTCTAGAGGTTATAATTTAAATACATTTTTATTTAATTAAAAATGCTAAATTTAAACTTAATTATATATATAAATCAAAATTTTTCACAAAAGAATTTCTTATTAATTTTTAATAAAATCATAAGTTTTATAATAGATAATATCAACTTATTTGATAAAAATAAATTTTTTTTTTTTACAAAAAAAGAACTTATTAAAGAACTAGCAAAAAAAGATATGAAAAACAAGAATTTAAGTAGAAAAATTTAGTAAATTTAAAAGTAGAAAATTTTATAAATTTGATATTAAATTTAGAATTTGATAAATCTTTATAATCAAAAAAATTGTATTTAGAAATAGAGGTTTTAATGTAAATAATTTACTTTAGTTTTGTTTTAATAATAGAACGAATCTAATTGTAACAACCTGTCACGTGCTTATTTGTAACAACTCAATTAGTACGACCAATAAAAATAACCAAAACTTCGTGTAACCCAAACATTAACTCTAACTACTATTGGCTAATTCGTGGTTGGTTGTTGCAAGAACATTTATTCTTATTAATAAATATAATAATCTGATTTATAATATTTGTCTTACTTTTTTTTAAAAAAAAAAAATCATATTATTATCATAAGTTATGCTATTTTGGCTAGCTAATAATTTATTATAATTTTTAAAAATTATATAAAATGTAAAGAAAACAAAGATATTATTAAAAAGAGTAAGAGTTCTAAAATGTTTTGTAGGATTTAAGATTTGGGATTTGACCAAGGTTTAGGATTTGTCCAGAGTTTGGGATTTTTTCAGAGTTTGGAATTATGACAGCCCAAATAAAGTTTTTTCAGTTTGGGATTTTAAAATTTTATACGTAGTTTGGGCGGCATGTATACCTACTAATGTTAGTAAAATATTTAACACTTATAAGTATAATTAGAGTTAATATTAAATTATATAATAAACACCAAAATTTTAAAGAAAAATATTTTTTTATTAGAACACAGAAGCAGTTTTATACGTAACATCATATGAATTTTGTCAATTTAACATTAACGTTAAATCTCTTAAAATTTTTTTAAACATAACTAATCTAAATATATCTTAATTGTTTAGTAACATGAATATCACAATTATGGTTTACTACAATGAGATTGACCTTACTGATGCCTTTTACAGCATCATGACAATGATATTAATGAAAAGTATAACAACCCGTTTGCATTCACGGTCCCTGCTGATGGAGTCGTCCTATGGTTACAATCTTTTCACTAAAAATAGCATAGACTTGTGCGCAGAGTATATCGATATCAGTAACGCGAGGCTTATTTATGTATACAATTACAATCATGAATCGTGCAACCTGTCAAAATATAAATTTGCTATTGGTTAAAAAAAATTTTCTCCTTATAAAAAGTCCGAGACTTGGAATAATCATACAAATGTAAAAAAAAAAGGAATTTGTTTTATTTTTTTTTTTTTTTACCTTTGACAAAAATTCTTATTACTCATTAATAAAAAAGCCTTTTTTAAATGATTCATGAATTCCAAAACTTTAACATTATTTTCGGATACGATTATATTAATTCACCTAATCATCGGAAGGATTCTAAGCAACTTTGATGAGCTTAATAGTTACATTAAACTTGTGATGAAACAAATATTTGATGGTTATATGATAATTATCTTTTTGATTGGGGTTGGCTTCAGGATGTACGATGTACCAGTGTTCGGAAAAGATCGGTAGGAGCGGGATCATATTAATATTATGTGTACGTACATGAATTTAATATACATATGTGCATGCTTGTAAATTTCATTTTAGAAAGAAATTACGCATCCGTTTATATATTCCTCAAAGACTGAAAATATTATCAAATAATGATAGATCTTTGTTAAATTCCCGTAAGTTTATGGATCCTATCGAGTGAAAATGCACAGATCTTTAATATTTACTAATAAAAAATATTATTTCTCATTTAATTGGTAAAAGAAAAGTATAAAGAACCAAATGAATCTAGATATGTCCCATACATTCCATCTCTTCTAAACCCTAATAGACCAGAGTTATTAAGATGTGTGATCGATTACTACCCAAGCAAGAGACACAAAAGTTGTATTTATAAAACGCAACAGAGAAAAAAGAAGGTTACAGTAAGAAAATCTTTATAAATAGGGATTGATAATAATGATTTGATGATAAAAATTTTATTTGACCCAATAATCATGACAGCAAAAGGTGACATCTAAATCAAAGGCACTTAGTATCATAAGTAATAAAAGACATGATGACATAAAAACTCAATATAATAATGGGTAATTAAAGATGCACTGCTTAAAGACAATCTCGGTATTTCATTCATTCAATTTTCTTTTCTTTATAATACGTAGATTGGATTACGACGAACCAATTACGCAAAATATCAAGAATTTTCATCATAGTCTAATTCAACGACCAAGAACTACTAAACAAAATCTTTCACCTGAGGAAGTTTTACATTCTGCACGTGATGAGCTACGATGGAAACTAAAGACAAAAATTAAATTTAATTTCAAATTTGCAAATAATTAATCACATTAAATTATTACTAATTTACTAATCCATAATTCATAAATCCATAAAACTAATATAAATTTTCTTAGAGTATATAGAATTAATTAATATTAATGATAATTAATCTAGCTATTGTATAGATATATATAAATAGTTATGTTATTCCAAATATAAGATTTGTCAATTGAAAATTATATAAACCAAAATTCTTTAAACCAGCAATAAATAAAAAATAAATAAAGCAAAATTCTGCATTATAAATATTTTAACGTTTGATAAAATTAATTAATTTGTATAAATTATTGCTTTGGCTATTCCTAATTTAATAAAGTTTTTATTATATAACATATTGTACGTATTAAGAAATTACGCACAAGATCGAATTGAATTATTACGTAGTGAAACTATTATACATAACAATATCGCCAAATAAAAAGCAAGCACCGACTCCCATACATGGAATAGTATAAATAGTGAAGGACTAAATGTATTAAATATATATATATTAAATATATTAAATATTAAAAATATGATGCCTATTCTAATTTAAAAAACTTTCGATGAAGATGCTTTGGTATAATCATAATGAAAACGTAATCATTCAATTAAAACCGTGCTGATAAATAATAAAAACATCCGCATTCCGAATATGTCACCCCTGTTGCATAGTCATAAAAAAAGATTTATAAATTTGATATTACGTACATAATTATTTTTTTTATTTTATATAGTATTTTATCAGAACAAAGATTGTAAACTTGTTATAATTCAGTGTTTCAAATGACCGCCATTCATGCATGATTAATTGATAGAAAAACTTTGTTTAAAGATCTATACATATACAACATTTTTAATAAAACATGACGCGAGTCCCATCAATATATTATACATCATATTCTGAGCCTATATCCAATAATGAAAATTTTATTATTGTTGAAAAAAAATGCGCAGAATAAACATGAAATTCATTAAAATATTCTATCAAAGCAATGTCTTTACAAAAAATGTTCATTGTTGTCCCAAAAAAAAGAAAGAAAGAAAGAAAAAGTATATAAAAAGTTATCTAAAAAAAAATGCTAGCTCGATCAATTAATAAAAGTTTAGATCAACAACCGATCGATCCTCATACTAACAACGCCATCATTAGTTTCATCTTCCCCTGCTTTTTCTACGGTATTAATTCTGTGAGAGTTCTTTTCATTGGAAGAATCAACCATCATGTGACCAGGTAGAGCAGTATTTGAACAAGACGCATTCAGAATAGCGTGATGTAAAACGGACTGCCCGATACAACATTGGTGAGAATGATGATGATGATAATGATAATTATGGTGAGAGCGTGAGCAATGAAAGGAATTTGAAACGAATTGAGTGGGGTGTAAAGGAAGAGAGGACTTAAAAGGAGGACAAAATGATGTAGATGAAATTGATTGTTGTTCGTGGGACGACGATGAAAACTGTTTAGGAGATGAATTAAGGTAGGCATTATTATTATTGTTATTATTATTATTATTACAATTTACCGGTGTATTTTTATCGCCAAAGGATGTAGAAACAATTTGAGAGATGATGCGATGTAAAGATGGAAGAACAATGTTTTCGCCTTGAGAGTTAATTATTTCATCTCTTGGAGTTACATTTCTTAATGGTGCAAGTTTATAACAATTTTGTTGTAATGTAATCTGACGATTCATGTGAGCCAATGGCTGTCGCGAAGAATTGATGGAACCACGATTGTGATTTCCGTGAGTATTAGCGTAAATCAAATAACGGGAAGTAATCATTAGTTCTGATGCACGTGACTGTTGTTGCGAAGAAATGGTACGATTGAGAGACGATGTTGAAGCAGAGGAAGACGATGAACGCGCAGAACGAATTGTCTCTTGTTCTTGACGAGTTCTGTCTTCTTGCTTACGTTTTGCACGGCGATTTTGAAACCTTCAAACAAATAGAAATTCAAATAAGAATTCATATGGTATTAGTTGCAGTGTCATCATATAAATTATAATGACGATTAAATGAATGATAACTACCAAATATGAACACTTTTGGAAGGCATATTAATTTTAAGAGCAATTTTTTCTCTCATATTTGAATCAGGAAAATCATCGACGGTTGTGAAATAATTTTCGAGAAATTGTGCTTGAGATGGAGTTGTTCGATGTCTCTGTTGTTGGGAGTTATTCGTGTTGCAAAGTGAAACACAGTTGATTTGATTGCTAGTTCTATTATTTGCCATTACCATTATCAGCAAATTTATAAAATTTATAAATCGATGAATTAAGTGTGAAAAAAAAAAAATAAAACAAGTCAACGAAAATAAGATCACTAGAAAGGTTTTAACACTTGCTTTTATATATTATTCAACAATAACAGAACTTTATCTCATTAATTATATTATATTATATCCATTTCTTCATCAATTATATAATACTTCTTATATATCTTGTATTTATTTTATTACCATTAATCACAAAGTCACGCGAATTTATCCTCTAAGAAACTAGTCTATCATATTTTACTTGTACAATTAATTAGTCTTTTTTCTCTTGAAATTTGATTAATAACTTGATTAGCTCGTCATCTAATATTTTATGTATTGACATATTTGAATATTAAATGAATTACTATTACTTATTTATGATTTGTTGAAAGGTTCGGGATTCGAAATAAAACAAAAAACCTTTATCAATCATTTATCAATCAAAATAGTAATCAAATTGACAAATTCATCTCGTAAGACTCAAAGTATAGATGATGTGAAAAAAAAGCATTATGTTTTTCAATTAACATTACATCCATAGGTATGTGCACTCAAGGAATATGATGCATATACTCAATTCCACGTGGATCTTTAAAAAAACGGTTTATTAAACGCGCATTCGTAATACGCATTATCAATATATGCTAACTTGTCATTATATTGATATCGATTTATTAGCACGTACGTATCGGTATATAATCTTATACGTATAATAATCTTATATAATCGCGATATGTAATACATATATATGTATATGATATACGTATATATATATATTATATATATATATATGTATAGTAAATAAAAATATAACGGTAATACATACAATAGCATTCAAATCACATGAAATCTTGTCGATCATTGATTGTTGTTTAAACTTCCCTGCTAAAATAGCTTCGGTATTAAAAAAACCTACTCTTAATATTATAAATGGAAACCTTAAATAATAATAAACAAAATTATCAAGTCCTTAGCCTAACTCACCTTCAAAATCTAAAGAAAGCAAAAGAATTTTATGATAATTCACAATCTATCACAGCTCTTGATTTTGATAGCTCTGGCGAATTTTGTGTTACCGCTTCAACCGACGAAACCATTAATTTATATAATTGTCAAACTGGAAGGTAGTTTGTCTTAGTTTCGAGGTTTTAATTTCACGTGTTTTTATTAGGAATTTCAATTATATAAAACGAGGAAAATGTTATATTTTAAAAGATACGAAAATTTTTCAGTTAGCAAAAAGTATGGCGTGCATCTAACTAGGTTTATGCACTCGAGTAGCGATATCGTATACGCGTCAACAAAAGGCAATGGTACGTATTTAATTATCTTGTTTTTCTATAGATTCGATTTTGACCTTGTAAACCTTTAAACATTTATCTAGATACGTTAAGATATTTATCATTACGCGATAACCAATTCATAAGATATTTTCGTGGTCACCAAAGTAGGTCTGTATTTATTTTATTTCTGACTTTATTCCTGATTTTATTCCTGATTTTATTTCTGACTTTATTTCTGACTTTATTTATACTTCATTTATAGAGTAGTCGCTTTAGAAATGTCTCCCGTAGATGATCAATTTTTGACCGGGAGTATCAATGAGGGTGTTCGGTTATGGGATTTAAGACAACCTAACGCCATTGTACTTATTAGGTTATACTATTGATAAATTTATCGATATTGTTTTAAATGTTAATATTTTCTAATATCTCTTATTTCTACGTATTATATTTATAGGATTTTATAGATATTCAATCCGGAAGACCTTGTTTAGGATATGATCCTTCTGGTCTTGTGTTTGCAATTGGTAAACGTAGCAATAAAACTATTCAGTTATATGATAGCCGAAAATTTGGTCAGGTTGATTGTCATTCGTTTTTATGTATAATAATATATATATATTTTTTTTCGTTTTTCATTTATTCAACAAATCCAAAAAAATTATTTCGTTTAATATTTTTTATATTTAGTCCCCTTTCGATACATTTCAAATCGATGATAATTATGTAGATTCAAATGGTTTACCAACTTCTCCCCCTGAATGGACTGGATTAAAGTTTAGTAATGACGGCCAAAAATTATTGATAACTACATCTGGAGATGTTCATTATTTAGTCGATGCTTTCAGTGGTCAATTAAAACAACGATTAATTGGTCATGTAGGGCTAGATAATGCTTCGGCATGCTTGGGAGGTGATGAGACAAGTTTTACTCCAGATGGTCAATATGTAATATCTGGTATCGTAACCTTTATTGTATTATTGCCTTATATTTATTACTTGGATTATTACCTTGTTTTGAAAGTTTTCCATCTGATAAACTTTGGTTTTCGTTAATAATAAAGGTTCTCGAGATGGCCTTGTATTAATTTGGGACACGACAAAATCCATCGATTCATCCAATACTCTGTCTGAAAACATTGATCTTCGACCTATCCATACATTAAATCATCATATTAAGCCGACGCAAGTTACGAGATTTAATCCAACAAAATTATTATTGATAAGTGCATGCACAGATTTGGCAAGTTAATCATATTTTTTTTATTCTAAGTCTTGAAAATGAAATTCGTAATTTAAAAAAACAATTAGTTAGAGAATAAAGTATTCGTGACGTTTCTGTAATGATAATACTTATATTTTTTATACATTTTTTTTATCAATACAGTAAAAAACGCGAATATTTTATTTACTAACTTAAAAAATACAAACTTATGGATTGACATGACGTCACAAATATTTGTATAAACATATATATGGGCTAGGTGGAAAATCAATTTTTATATTATTAATCTTATAATAAATCATAAGAGAATGCAAACTTTAAAGAGCTATACTACAAAATTTTATTAATACAACTACTTTTGTATCTTAGGTAAAAAATGATTCTAATTTTATTCTGAATTTATTCTAAATTGATAAAATTGTCATTTTCCAGCACCTAGCCCATATTTTCAATGAATTTATTTGCTAGAGTAAAATATCATTAATTATTAAATAAATATAAATATATATATCTAATAATATTCATTTAATAATCATCGTTTTACAGGTATTTTGGTTACCTTCAGTCGACCCTAACGACATAGTTAAAGAGTCGGAAGATAATAAACCTTGTTTATCTTCAGGTGATATAGTAAAGGAAACACCTAATATCCAAATGCAGGTAACGGCTAGCACCAGTTCTTCTGTTGATGCCGTTTCTAATAGATTGTTGGGGCCTGTACATCATTGTAAGTATCTATATATAGTCAACAACGAGCAATTTAAGTTTATTCATTATTAATTCATGACGATACTTTAACAGATCACCTTTATTAGGTTTACTTTCCCATATAACGATAATACTAAGCTGCCTTTTTTGGTACAAGTTCAGCCAAATATCCGTATATGGTTTTTATGTAGCTATCTTGGCTGTATATTATTAAGCAAGGTGCCTTTGATTATTATAATAAATTAATCTTCGACATATTTAATAATTTACCAGAAAATCAATTTGTAAATTTCTGGCGAGAATAATAATGACCTGTTAAATACGTACCTTTTAGAAGAAAACAATGAACTGAATTATTAATAATAAAAAAAAACTTTTTTTTCCTTTTTTTTTTTTTTATGTTTATATAAACTATAAAATGTATTATTATATACCGAACGTACCTTCCTTTCGCAAAGAAAGATCCATTCTGTACTAAAATATGTCACAATTCATATCATTATTTATATAAACAATTTCTAATTAACGGTATTTCCAATCATGAGTAGTTTTTTATTCTTAATTTAATTCGCCTGTCATAAAAGTTTTTTATCTGTTCTAAAACCATAAATGTCACTACAGTATGTGGCGTCAATCGCACAAAAGCTGGTACCCAACCTTTGAACAGTGCTTGAAGTCCTTCATTACGAATCGTCGAAGTAAACACGATCACAAAGCTTTGCTATTAAAAAAAAAGAAATGTGATATATTATATTCAACCTAAAGCAATAATAATTTCAAATAAATATATGTGGTGAAAATTGGCCAAAACTGTAATTTATAATAATTATTACAATATTGCTATAAATAACTATAAATAATAACTGATAACCATGCAGTAATGTTATTATATTAAAAAACTTTTTATAAAGTTTGACTAAATGATTTATAGACCTGCATAATATTAACCAAAATTTTATTTGTTTTAGCCAATTTCCGTCACAATAAATAAGAATATAAACCTTAGTTCCACTTGAGTTCATGATACGAGTTTTAATAACATCAATTGGTGAACAGACAGTTGTAGCTACAAATCCCTAGAAATAATTTTAATAATAAATATATAAATTATTAATTTTTCTGTAAAAAATATATATTTTTTTTTTTTACTTATAAACCTACCGCCAAAAAACTAGAAATGAAATGAGTGATAATATCATCACGAAAAAATTTAGTCTCCAATAATAACTGTTTAAATTGTTCATACGATGCTATTTGTGATGAATTCATAAAGATGGCTCGATTCATATTTGGTCCGATACCTCGAGTAAGACCTTTTACTCCTTCCGCTTTAATTATTTGATAAAGACCATCAAACGCATTCTTATAGTTACGTTGCAATTCTGATGGTAACTTTGCATCATTTTGCATGCGAACCATTACAAGGTCTGCTGGATTTCCAAATGCTCCACCGATGCACCCTGATATAGATGCACAAATGATTTTTTTTACAAATGAAAGGTTCTCTGAAATATCATAAAATAATTAGATATATTTGTAATATGTTCTTTGATTAATTGGACCTCTTTTAAGAATACTAACCTCCATCTTTACTTAGAAACAACTTCAATTTGTCATAAACTCCAAATCTCATAGTAGAATACGTGACTTGCCTCAAAATGCTAGCGGAAAGTCCCTTATATATTCCAGGAAATTTTTCATTTTTTATTATATCAATTGCAGTTTTAAAAGTTCCTTTCGGGTTTACTCCAGTTGTTGTTTGCATGCGAACTTTGGTTAAATCTAAAGGGTGACTAACAAAGCAGGCAGAACAGGCGGCTGCACCTATTTCAAATGGTATTAAGAACGAATTAGTGTAGTCATAAAATTTTTAAAATAATTCGTTAAGTTTACATACCTCCAAACCAAAACGGATATACATTATTTCGTTTTTCATTTAAATTCGGGGTAAGAACAATCGGTGCTAGATTAGACTTTTTAGAGTTATTAGTTTCCATTTCTCGTTTTTTAAATATGATAGGTATGTAAACTAGTTGTAAACTAGTAAATTTTTTAAAAATTCTCCCATTGTTGGCGTTTTTAAATAGATTATAGATTATCAAATTTAAAATTTATCATTACTGCACAAACACAAACACAAACATTCTTTTTATGTATAATCGGCAACACATCGGAGGATAAAAAAAAAAGACCGAAAAAAACCATAACTTCCGCATCGGGGAATCGAACCCCGGCCTTCCCGGAACTCTTTAATGAGAGCGGGAGATCCTAACCACTAGACCAATGCGGATAATTACAAAAGAACAGCTAAATTTTTAATATTTATTATAATATTAAAATTATATATGTATTAATTACATAATCTAAAATACAAACTGGTCTAATCTCTCATAACAGCATATAGACTGATATTTTCACGCATCTTAAAAAAAAAAACTCATTCTTTTGTAAGTTCTCCTAATATTATTTAATAATTACTTTAATGTATAGATAATGCGCCGGGCGGCTACTTACAATAGTATTAAATTACCCTAAGATATACAGTATAATAAAGGTTTCTTCACACCGTCAAATCTTCGTATTGTAATTTCTAGTTGTTTATTTTATAAGATATTAAATTATACCACTTATATTATGGTATTACACAGACACTAGCCAAAATGATGAATAGAAACTTCACAAGTACATAAAATATTATTAATTTACACGGAGGATTGTTGTGACGTTTCCTTTTTGCGAATCTCTTCAAAATATGGGTGTTTCAATGCATCCTCGGCACTTATACGTTTCTCAGGTTGATACTCTATTAATTTCTAAAACAATTTGAACAAATATTGTATTAAGATAATATTCATATTTCAATATAAGACTTCATAGCCAAATCAAAGAAATAATCAACTCACACTTAACAAATCAATGCCATGTTTATCTAGCTTTGGAAGAAGCGACTCCAATGGCATCCGGTTATAAATAGCAAAATCATTCTATGTATAATAAAAGATAATAATAGAATAATTAATTTTTTTATTGTACGTGCCTAATATATTTAAACGCAAATGAGATCGTGCAATGCTAGTTATGCATACTTTGTAATCTGGCAACTGTGAGACCTTTGGCCATGTTTCCTCTGTTGGTGTTCCTAAAACTGTGCAAAGTAGTCAAGGATTTAACTTAAAAATTTTGAATCAAGAGTTTGAAAGAGTTTTTCTATTCAAGAAAAGGATATTTAAATATTCTCAATAACTGGTCTTTAATAGAACCTCCTGGAAATAACGGTCTACCAGAAGCCATCTCTAAATACAAATAATAATAATAATAATAGTAAATGTTTTGCCAAAAGTAGATAAAATTGCAAAATATTCCTGATATACCTGCAAATATACACCCAGCCGACCATACATCGATAGATGTGGAATATTGTCTTGATCCCATCAAAACGTCAGGCGCACGATACCATAACGTTACTACCTATAAAAATTCCTTATCTGAATCAGAATAAACTCTAGGTTTGATACAATCCTCCAGATCAATTATTCTAACCTCATGTGAGTAACTTCGTACAGGAATTCCAAAAGCACGTGCAAGACCAAAATCAGCCAATTTCAACTCGCATTTCTAATAAAATATATCTACTTAGAGTCGATCTTATACGCATATATAATCGGCTCGAAAAAGTCCTACCTTGTTGATTAATAGATTTTGTGGCTTAAGATCCTATCAGTATTAATTCAATTAATATATTTATAACAAGATAATGAATAAATAATAACGGTTTGGGTAATCTATATCTATAGTTACCCTATGCAAGACCCGATGCTCATGACAGAAAGCAATTCCTTTCAAAAGTTGATACATTAATTGCTGTTACGTAAATAATATAAATTTAATAAAAGTGGCGATTATAGTAAATTAATATATAGATATATATATTAATTATGTTTGGTACCTTGATTGTTAATATATCTAGATCACCCCCGTAAGTATCTAAGAATTTCTTTAAATCCGAATCCAAATATTCAAATACTAGTGTCAACTTTTTCTCCGTATGTAAGACATCATAAAGTCTTTTTGTAAAAAAGGTTCAATTAATTATTTTAAACACACGAAAAAAATACACAAGAAATAAGTTGTTAATAAAAATATAAATTTACCTTACTATGTTTGCGTGTTTTAACTCTTTCAGTAATGATATCTCACGAATGGCAGTACATGGAACCTTAAATCAATTCGATTTTGTCAATTTATTAGGCTATATATATAATACTACGAAACCCGATCAGAAACAAATTAAAATTTCGATTTTACCCCTTCTTCTTCGTTATCCAATCTTATACGTTTCAGAGCAACCACCTCATTTGTATCCTTATTTTGTGCCTTATACACAATTCCGTACGTTCCTTAATTACGATTATATAAACGAAACCATGCCGTTAGTATATAGATTTGCAATGAGGCTGTGTTGGCAAGCATGTTAGAGCAAAGAAACCTTCTCCCAGCTTTTCAATTTTCTGTAAATAAAGGAAAGCCGAGTATCAATGGAGTTTTAATGTTGCGAATCATCAAAATCAATCTATATAAAAGGTAAAAACATACCTGATATTTATCCATTATGAATTAGAAGTAAATAAAAAAAAATCTTTGTTAAATTTATATGAATTTCTTTAACTTTATCGAACCACGGTATTTCGGGCATTGTCTTTACCTCGTGATAATATTTAGGCTACACAAAAATATATTTACATATTCACGTGATGTAAATGTACGTGAGTTTAAATGTTATACGTACACAGAATAAATAAATAAAATAAATATATACAGTATATAATATATATTATGTATTTGAACTGTCTACATATTGAAAGAAAATATACAAAGTGAATTGTCGATGATACTGAAATTTGTATGGGGATTTTAGTAGGGTTTAGGACCCCTTAGTATCATCCGATTTCAGTTATCATTCCTATACTCGTTGGCAAATCCCAAACCTCAAAAAAAACAATTGCTATTTATAAAATTGAATCAAGAAAATAATCTTAAATCTGCATTGTAACTCATATAGCGAACTTAATATAATGTGTCAGTTTGTAGCCATTCATAGCGCAGCTTTGTGGCTGCCTTTAACAGAATTAATACTTGTCAAGCATTTCGTTATATAGATATAACGAATGTGTTATATAACAGAATTTTTAAGCCAGTCCAAGTTTCAGTTATATCGATAGTTGACAATATAGCCACAAGAATATATATTATTTGTTTAAATAAAGATTATTAATAATTTTTTAGATATAAAGTTTGGGATTTGGATATAAACAAACTTAAACTATAGTAGTTTGGGATTTTAACAACAAACATAATTGTTTTTGACACATATTGTATTGTATGTATCAGGCGTTTTAAAAGTTCTATTACTGGTCTTTTTTTTAAATTATCTTATATATAAAATCATAATAATTATCTTTATTTTTAAACTTTATTTTTCTAAACTTTATTAACAATCTGTAATTAAAATTAATAAGTTATTTACAAATTGTATTATAAGTATTAAGCCTAAACTATATGCAATTAAGTAGAGTTTTTTAACATTAAATCAAATCAAATATTGAATTAATTTAAATTCAACTTTATTTTAATTTAAATTTGATTTAATTTTTTTTTTTTTGTTAAAAGATTATACTTTATAACAATTATTTTATTAATATATATTGGGATTAGTATTACAACTATTTTTACAAAGATGAAAGTACAGCTCACTATATGTGCAGCTTTTGGTTGCTTATTTAAATAGTTTGTTTTAGAGTTTTATACTAGATGCTATATCTATGATTTACTAAAAGATTATCTATTTAAACTCTTTAATTATTTGCTTTATTAATTATTTAACTATTACAAATCTTTTATATATACTTGATTAGTATATTGTTTAATTAGTACTGTATTTTTCTTTTTTTAAACTAGTATTTAGATTATTATATATTTTCAAATATAACATTTGTCAATAAGTCTTAAAAGATTTTTTTATTAACTACCTATTTACTCTATAGATCATTAACAAGTGCTTGCCTTTAGAAAGTTTATTTATATTCTAATACTACTTTACAATATATCTTTAATATTTTAGCATATTTTTGTTTTGTTTTTTAGATTTTTAATTCAAATAGCTCAGAAGAATTATAATTTGTTTCTAGTATATCAAGTCTGATTTGATATTTTTTTTTTCTGATTTAAATTTGATAGTTTAGTTAATAATATTTCTTATTTAAAAGTTCTTGTCTGTTTGATTTCTTTACATTGATATTTGTTTTCTAAATTTAGTTTTTATAATAATATTGTAATAGAATTTATTTTTTTTCCTATATTAGTATATATTTGTTTTTAGCTCTATATTATATTTTATAATTTTTCTAATATTTTTATATAGTTTATAGATTATTTTATTAGTTTTAATCGCCTATTTAATAGGTTAATATTTATTTTATTAGTAGATTTCTTAT